TCGTGTAGCATGACCGCGCTCTGGTAGTTGCTTCTTGATACAAGTCTCTGCGTGAGGGATTGACTGGCCCTCTGACGGAGCCCAGTGATCTTACTAATCTCTGCAATCTTAAATCATTAACGAAGGGAATCAGTATAGACAGAAGATGCGTCATGATTGCCGAGGACTCGCCACCTGCTTGATCAAGAGGTTCATCCCAGTTAGCCGGGGGACCTTGAAGTCCTTCGCGCTCAAACAGCAAGTCCACGGGAGCTATGTGACATCGCAGTGCGCGGGTGTCTGTACAGTCGCTAAATAAATCTTTTTGTAGCTTTACCATGGTTTCATAAAATGTAGCTTTGGCATACAGCTCGAGAAGGTTCTTGCCAAGTACTTCTTCTCCTCCACTGACATGATACGTGAAGTTGTATTTCTTCACAGGAGCACCTGTCTCTTTCATACTCTCTGTTTTAACCGTCACTTTCGCAATGTAATCTGAGACCATGTGAATTTTGAGGTAGCGCTCAAAGTAAAGCTCCGCTTCTGTCTCCTCCTCAATTCGACCGTCCGGGGCAATGTCTGGAGGTAATGGCGTTACACAGTCTCCACAGTTGAACTCAGGGATTAGCACTGGAGGAACCAGTTCAGCCTCGTCATGTAGGCTCTCGATTTCCATGGCTTCGTTTCCCCCAGACGTGCTCTCCTCTGACGTTTCCAGGTTTCCAGAGGAGATGGATGATGTTGTGATCCTGGAACCTTCCTCCTCCGAATCTGAATTCACGCTGACGAGCTTTAGAGGGGCCTGCGGTGTTCCGATCTTAGCGGTAGGTGGACAGCAGCTGCACAGAGACTGTAGTTTCACCTTTAACATTCGTAAGACATAACGAATCGTGGCACAAATTTTGCCCGGCAGACTGACACCCGGTTCTTTGACGGGCTCCGCCGTGTCTTTGCCAGAGAGGGCTCCGGTTAAAACGTCTGTAACCTCACGTGTGGTCAGGGTCGCCAGCGGGTCTGATGCGGATATTATCGGAGTACTCCAAGTGATTACCGGTCATGCAGATGATGTATAACTGCTGAACATACATAAGGTAATTGTTCCAGCAATATAATAACAATGTACGACCTTATTACCAACCACATTAGACCTTGTTATAAAGTCTGACAGCAGCAGGGAGGAAAGACCTGCGAAATCTCTCCTTCACACAGCGAGGATGGATCAGTCTGTCACTAAAACTGCTCTCCAGAGCAGATAGTGTGACCTGCATAGGGTGGGACTCATGGTCCTTCATTGATGTAAATTTAGCCAGGACCCTTCTGCCCCCCACCACCCTCACCGAGTCCAGAGGACAGCCCAGAACAGAGCTGGACTTCTTAATAACCTTATCCAGCTTCTTCCTCTCCCTCTATGTAATGCTGCTGCTCCAACAGACCACACCATGCAGGATGGCTGATGCCACCACAGTCTCATAAAAAGTCCTCAGGAGTGTCCCCCTCACTCCAAAAGATCTCGGTCTCCTTAAGAGGTAGAGCCAACACTGGCCCTTCCTGTATAGTGCATCTGTGTTGTTAGTCCAGTCCAGTTTGTTATTTAAGTGAACACCCAGGTACTTATAACCGTCCACTCTTTCAGTGTTCATTCCCTGGATGTTCACTGGTGAGGAAGAAGTAGACTGACGTCTGCGGAAATCCACCACCATCTCCTTGGTCTTCCCAGCATTGATAAGGAATTACCACCAACAACTTAGTTCTGTGGCCACTTTGTGTTCAGGTCTTATAAGAGTTTACTGATTATCAGCCTATTTATACATAGAATTAAAACATGCAATTCCATAAACATCATACTGTTTTTTGTAAATAAAGATTTAGCTGCTGCGATCAAACATTGATCCATACAGTTTGGACAGTTTGACTCCTGACATGGTTTATTGATTACTGCATAAAATCATATCTATCAGTTCAGTTTATTGCCATGAAAGTTTCAATAAACAGTGTTGCCAAAGTGAAAAAAACTATTTATAATTTGTTATTTAAATAATTGGACAAGGATAGAACCCTGGAAGCACACTGCTTGTGGGGAGCTGGGCCCCACCACTAATTTGTCATATTTTATGAAAATGTGTGTGTGTGTGTGTGTGTGTGTGTGTGTGTGTGTGTGTGTGTGTGTGTATAGGTCATTCACTGTCTCTCAGACTGCCCCATATTGATTTATACTGGACACCAAGACTTGCCCCGTCTCTCTGTCCTAGGAGAATATTTCTTTCTGAGAGCTCAAGCAGCTTTGAAACCTGGAAATGCAGAGTTAAAATGTTCAAAATAATTTTTCCTTATTTCACAGATTTCTTTTTCACTGCAGGAGGAAGTGTGTCTCCGTCTCGACCTCACACTGTGACTACAGGGTCTGTTGTCTTTTGGTTGCCATGATATTTTTTCCTTTTTCAGTTGCCAGTTTGTGCTCACTGATCCTGCACTTGGTTAGGGTCGGTCTCTGCCAATTCACACTCTCTTTTCCAGGCCAGATAACATTACTGCATTGCTTTATGATTTGGTTTATTCTGATTGGTGTTTGGAAAGTAGTGTTGTTGTAACTGCTCAGAGTGTGTCTGAGAGGGAGCAGATGGTCTCAGCACCAAATGACATAATGCTTTTTCTGGGCTCAGCTCTTGGGTTTTTGGAGGGATCTGGAGTGTAGGGGGTCTGGGGGGCTGGATTTAAGGAGGTTAAAAAGTGAGTGCTGCATTTTTGGTGTTAATTTTTATTGAGTATTTGCCTAATTCTGCTCTAAATGCATTTGTTGGTGTTTTCCTT